TTGCAAGTTATTGAATTCAACCATTTTTGTGTGTGATTTTAATGTTGCTGAACGTGTATATCTTAATAATTATTTTTAATGTTTTTAATATATTGTACCATTCTCGCAATTCAGTTTTTTTTTGTAAGTTACTGTAATGAGAAATGAAATAACTTAAACTTGAAACTTGACACTTACTAAGTGTGCCAAATGGCCAATTTAACAGTTTTTAACCACTACATTGGAGACAACTTCACATTTTCGGTTAGTGCCTCTTAAATTGGGTTCCCCTATTCAAGGGACACATGTATTTGGTCCCAGAAGTGTTCCCTGGTAAGGATTCTACAATGCAAATGAAATCAATAGATTACGGATTCACAAGTTAACCAGTAATTCACAATATAATGACCCACACTAAACACATAAGACAAACTGTAAACGTTGTTCACTTATATAATACAGTCAACATATAACGTTCTTGAACGTTTTCATGTTGACAGCAACAAAAATGTCTAATGCAACAGCAATCGTAAAATAGCTCCGTGATTGCGATCGAGTAATTTTTAGGGACTCGAACCAGGGTAAGTTGGCAGCACACATTAGCGAGCACACGGAATCAGTATATAATTTAAGCGTTGATGAGTGGATTATAATTTATCAAAAAAAAAAACCCTTTCTGGTACAAATGCTAAATGCATCTTCTATGTAAATATTTTGATATAAAGAAAGCCTTCACTGTATCTACGAAACCAACTAATAATATTTTACCGATACAGTTATGTACCACAAGACGTGCTGGAAAGGATTCCAAAATTATCAGTTTTATGTTGAGGTAATTGAAGTAATGGTCCATTTTTATTATCACTGTTTACACTAGTGTTATTTGGCTTAATTTTCATAATTAGTTTATCTTTTTTTTCCAAGGGTTTTGAGTCCTGGTAACATGATAACTGATATAGGGCAAGGTGCCCTCAATGGCTTGGCAAGTCTTCGGGAGTTGTAAGTGACAAATCACAAGTTATGAATATTTACAATTATATATTTGGCACTGAAAGATAATCGTAAATCATTTCACATTGTTTACTATTCAGGTCATTCAAAAACTTATATATTTGGTGTAACAACAAATATCATTGACAACAACACTCACCGACAACGACGGTAATAACAATACAAATTTACGACAAAAGAAATCGCTGATAACAACATTCATTGATAAAACAACAACTATTATAAAAACGACAACGCTCGAAAAAAGACAAGTATGTAAACCAACCAAGGTACAGGCTGCTCCTTATCTGGAACTCTAAATATGTATCGGCGATAGATTTTTACCTTTGCTCAATGATAATAATTGCTTGATGTTTTTTTTTTTCTGTTTTGAAGGGTTTTGTCTTTAAAACAAATAACTCATCTGAAGGATGGTGCCTTCAATGGTTTGACAAGCCTCGTATCGTTGTAAGTGACAATCCACAAGTTACTTATTTTATCAGCTTCTTCACAATAAAGTATGCATTGCCTGATGTTTCATTGTTTATGTTAAAAATAATAATCGTTGATAATGAACAACAATCTGAAAAAAAGAGATCAATTCATCATATCAACAATACCAGTCATGAACAACAAAATGACCTGATGGAAAACTACGCTCGAAACACCTTTTTTTTTTTTTTAATTTGGGACCACTAATAGTAAATACAGTATATCCAATGGGTATAATGTCAATCGGTATTACAACATCTGCACAGGATCACACAGGCCTACATTGTAGGTGTTAAAAGTGGAGTTGTTTTCTTTAAAAAAAAAATCCTGGTGTCTCCAATAAACACAGCACCATGACATTAGAAAGCAGACGTCTTTACCACCACGCTACATTTTTGCTGTAGTATTCTAAATATTATATTGGCATTTACTGGAAAAATAATATACACTCGCTGATATGTCAACAATTTATTCTCGTTTGCTTTCTTTTAAGGGACTTGTCTAATAACGAAATATCTGGTGTAACAAAAGTGCATTAATTTTTATTTTTTTTGGGGGGGGGGGGGTTTCCCCAATTATTTGGTAATTTTTTTAATTTACCATCAAATAAATTAATTAAAGGTACTTATAGAAGAAACCATGTGTCCTTCTTGAATCCGTTTTGTGACACTTATGTACCAATTAATTGCAGAATCGGGTGAAATAATAATATCGTCTAAGTAAATTAAAGAGTTGAAAAGTTCTGGTAAAGCATGATATCATTAGCCGCTGGAACGTAGCCGGTGCGTTTTGAAGTCCATATGGCATACGGTTACACTCGAACAATCCAATTGGGTTAGTAAAAGCTGTTTTCGCTTTGTCTTCCTCCGCAACCTCCACTTGGCAATAGCCGCTGGTTAAGTCTAGTGTAGAAAACAATCTTGCCTTACCCAAAGCATCCATGGCTTCGTCGATTCTCGGAAGTAGAAATGCGTCCCTGACTGTCTTAGAATTGTTTCCAAATTCAATGCAGATTCGTAATGACCCATCCTTCTTACGAACAATCACCAGGCAAAGCATAAGGGCTTTTGCTTGGCCTAATAGCACCAGCCTCTAACATGTCGTTGATGTGTGAACTTCCTGATATTGTGAAGGCGGGATACGGCGGAAGGGCATTCTAAATGGTTAGTTGTCTAACAGAGGTATAGGGTGATGTATGGTCTTTGTATGTCCAAAGTCATTAGAATTGAAAAAAACCTCAAGGGGAGATTGCAATGCATCGCGTTGAGTGTCCGATTTAATTTCTGATTGAGAAAGATCCGACAGGAACTTAGATGGTGATTTGTGGGGTTGTTGATTTATATTCATACTGTTCATAGTGAGTGGTACGTCGACTACACTCGAAATTGCCGAAAAGTTTCAGGATTCGCACAAAAACTTTATCATTCCGCTTGATTCTGGAGACTGAACGACCAACTAGAAAATTTGAATCGCTTCCTGATGACTCGACCAGCACTGTTGATACGCTATCTTTGAACCATACAGTGGTACATGTTACATCAAATTGTTGATTTGGTTTTATGTGAGTAGGGTGTCTGCTGTGATATGCCGCTTTCCCAATGTTTTCCGGTTGAGTAATTTTCTCCATTTGCACGAAAGATGCCTCGAAAACTTTATCCTTGCCCTTTATGTGGCCCTGGTCGTTTCTCTTAGCCACACGTAATACAGTACTGACTAGGACTGGGACTGTTTGGCTGTACAGTATTTGCTATTTGGGACAACAAACAGAGGAACAGCGAAAAATGTTTTTGAAGGATGGTAATAGCTGCTTTAACTATTCCGTAGTATGGGACACTGTCCATTTGCAGCTAGTACTTCTAATGTGCAGTTTTCCATATTTTGTGACTTTAGTTCTGGAATGTAATTATATAAATCGAGACTTATAGTTGAAATCTGCGAACTGGAATTTATTAGCGCATTACGTTTAATGTTGTTAATCAAAATGTAGGATTCGTTTGTAGGTCCCACAAGGTTTGTTTGAGTATTGTATTCACCATCAACCCAACCTACTGTTGTAATGACCAGGCCCGGGATTTATCAATCTCAGCTTAGCAAATGTCTTAAGTCAAAAAAGTTAAGAAGTAGCTAAGCAAAAATCTTAAGCTGATTTTTGTAAAAGTAATATTACGTACTATTTAATAATTATGCGTGATAGTCATTGTCAAATTTGCTACCTACTTAATTTGGTTTGCTACCACAGTGGATTTATTTTTCTCCGCCTAGGCCTAGGCTATATAGCAGTAACGTCGCTGATCACAGGGGCGGATCAAGGATCTGCTGCATTATTTTTTATTCCCATACAATTAGGGCAGAAATTATAGAGGGCGCTATTTAAGGTCAGTTTAGTGATCGTATTATCGTAGTAGAGAAATAGTTACAGAAAGCAAGACCTAAATTAATAATTATTAATTAAATGAAAGTTTTGTTGGCCTACTGAAAAATACAATACAATGTAGCTATTCATGCCTCGAGCATCCCTCGTAGCTCAAATCAATAGGCCTACTACTACTATTGCACAACAAATTATGATATTTGGTTTTTTAGCATCCACTATTCTTGTACATAAATCTTCAATTTCCAACGTACGCTTATAATAGCAACTCGGACGTCATTACCGGTGGTCTTTACAAACACAGAACGTCGAACTTATGTCATGCTTATGCATATTCATATTTAACAGCTCACTAAACTGACCTTACATAGCGCCCTCTATAAGTTTTGACCTAATTGTATGGGAATAAAAAATAATGCAGCAGATCATGGATCTCCTTCTGTGATCAGCGATGTTACTGACTATATAGCCTAAGCCTAGGCCTAGGTGGAAAAAAATAAATCCACTGTGGTAGCAAATCAAATTAAGTAGCAAATTTGACAATGACTATCACGCATAATTATTAAATAGTACGTAATATTACTTTTAAATTGGATTTTTGTTGTTCTCTGCACATATTTCGATGTAAAACGATGCCTCGCATGAATCGTTGTTATGCCTCGCACTTTTGGGAATGGTAAAACGATGCCTCGCAAGTCTAATCGTCTTTTTGCCTCGCTGCCTCGCACTTTAGTACTACCCAGGCGGCAGCTTTGAATGAGATAAGACGAAAATTTTCGTCTCAAGGCAGGTATGTTTTCATCTTAACGTTAAGACGATTTTAAGCAAATTTTAAGCAATTTCTAAGCTAAGCAATATTGATAAATCTGACTTAAGCAAAAAAATGGATTTAAGACGAATTTAAGCAAATTTTCTTGCTTAGCAAGTGTGATAAATCCGCCCCCTGATGCTCAACATACTGCCTTTGAGTATCTGCGCATACTTATATGGGGAGGAACACTGCCTTGATCGGGATAATTTAGTATACGGATTCTGCTCGAAATTTTTCTGGGAATTAATTTGGATTTTCACCGAGGCGTATAGAAAACCTTAATGTTTCTCTGTTGAATTTATATTATTTAAAAAATATAAAATAAAAAAACATGATACCACAATGTTTGGACCAGGAGCCCTGGCCCGGGATTTATCAATCTCAGCTTAGCAAATGTCTTAAGTCGAAAAAGTTAAGAAGTAGCTAAGCAAAAATCTTAAGCTGATTTATCAAACCGTCTTAGCAAAATCTTAGCAAAAATATCATCTTAGATGGCGCATGCGTACAATCGACTTCTTGTAGCTTATAGAGGGCAGCAAATTTTGTCTTAAGTCGAAAAATATTTGCTTACGCATGCGTAAAAGCCATTTTTGTGATTTCAACCGGAAGTGAACTGTCAAAGGTTACGAGAGATACAGTAAACAAACCATGTAAGAAACTTATGTGCTCGCCATGCTGGATGTTCGCTAGTGAAGATTTTATCGTTATTCTTTCTTATCTGTTTTATATGGATGGTAAGACGTCTACTATCACTGTCAGTTTAATTTGGATGAACTACATACAGCTGTGAAAAGTTTGTGGCATTAAAGGACTTTTACGATTGAGAGTGCTGGCAGAGAGAAGAGGCGGCCAACAACGAGCAAGGCTAGAGAAAGGCCTGGCCTAGTTTGGTAGAGTGGTCTAGCTAGGCTAGAGCATTAGCGAGAAAGCTTAGTTTAGCCTACTAGCTAGGCTAGGGGGCCTAGGCTACACCGCTAATATAGACCAAAAAATCAGACGCGGTAACCGAAACATCTAGGCCTACGACAACTACTAATTTTTAAAATGACAATTGTTGTTTTTGACTTGAGAGAGATTTCCAGGTAAGTGAATATGATTGCTATTTTTTCTTTAATTTAGGAAGGATATAGCACTGCATGCAGAGGGCAGAGGGAGGTATAAAAATTTACATGGGAACCAGTCATCTCGCCCCCTATAAATTCCGCACTCTAACAAAATGTCTTTGTAGTAGAAAATTATTAGGGCACATAGAAAAAAATTGTTAGATTTATCACTCCTGCCTGAGTCAAAAATTTGGGTGGTGTGACTGGAAATACATTTTCTTTTAAAAACAATAAAATTAAACCAGTTTTTATACAATATTCTTCCCAAATAAATCATCAATTAAAAAAAATACAACATTCTGGTTTAATTTATGTGACCGTAAAATATTTACATGTCCGTT